AAGAACTACTGATCCCAACTGGATCTTCTTAAGGATCTATTACAAACAAATGTAAGAATAAAACAAGTGTTTAAATGCTTCTAGATAAGCTATATCACAACTGTGATTTTACACTTAAGATTTTAAGAACTTAGAAATAAATTCAGCTAGATAAAGATTTGTATGAGAGCTTGTAATGAATTTCTTTCAAGTATTTCTCAACTGAAGAAGAGAGATGGAGTCTTCCTTTTATTGGCACAGAGGTCCAAGTAGCTTTCACGTTGAAGGCTGTGTACTAAAAAGGTTTGAACCTTTTTGTCTTCACATCACATGACCTTTCCTAGAAATAGAATGCACAGATAAATCCTTTTTGTCTGTGTTCTTGTGTCTAGCATAAATGAGGAAAGAGTCGTTTGGCCAAACCAACGGACATAACTTTGAATTCTTCTTCAACAAGTTTCAGCAAATATCATCAGAGTCTTGAGTGGTCAGAGTCTTCTGATGATCATCAGAGTTTGCTAAATCAGAGTAATGCAGCAAGTGTGCTTTCAGCGTGTAATAATTCAGAGCAGAGTTTGGGATCAGATCCTCAGTACTTGCAGCGTAGTACTATCAGAGTCTTCTGAAATAAAGTAAGCTTGAAACTCTTCATACAAAAGTCTTCAATGCTTCAGTTGCTTCTGGCTTTTGCTTCAGATTCTTCTGTAGCTTCTGCTTCAGATCCTTCTGTAGACAGCGCTCAGAATCTTCTGTAGGCAGCGTTCAGATTCTTCTAAGAGATGCTTCTGACGCTTCAGAGCCTTGCATATTATCATGTTCAGATCTAATTTGCTTCCAGAATAATATTCACTTTAATATCTGCAACAAACATACTTGAACAAATTTTAGAGTATATAATTCTTTAATACAAAATATCATAAGAGTTATCATCAAAATATAGAGATATAATTAAGAACCAATTTGTGTTCTAACAATCTCCCCCTTTTTGATGATGACAAAAACATAAGAAATTTTGTTCAATAAAAATATAATTATAACTCCCCCTGAGATTATGAATCTCCCACTGAATTGAATACTTAGAGAGAATATAAACTTTCCTTTTTGCATGAGTATTCTTTACAGAATCAGAGCCTGATTGTTCCAAAAATTAGATTTTGACTTGGATAAATGTTTCAGAATCAGAGCCTGATTGGTTAAATATGATCTGGGAGTCTCAGAGTTACTTTTAAAGAATTTGTCAGATTTTTCAAATGATCTGAAATACTAAGAGTTTACGTTAGTTATAGTTAGATATGTCTGAGTTTCATTTAGGTAGAGTTTATTTGAACAGTCAGATCCATTTTCTCTCCCTTTTTTGTCATAATCAAAAAGTAAAACTTTTAAAGATAAATAAAAGGAAAAACAGAAAATATAGATTCATGTAGAGAAAACAGCAGAGTCATTCATTCATTCAGATAAACAAACAGACACAACATCAGATAAGAATTCAAGTACATGTGCACAAACATCAGATACGGAAAAACATAAAACTAGGTTTCCTTGGACAGAATCATGAAGATTCTTCTTGCTTTGTCATCCATTTTTCCATGTTCTCATTCTTCTGATCTTGCTTAGACATCCATTGTGCCATGTTCTCAGTCTTTTGGTCTTGCTTGGCCATCCATGACTTGATTTCAGATTGCCCACCTTCCAATACTGCAATCTTATCTTCTATATCTGGATTCTCTTTCTTGATTTCAGATGAAGAAGGTGGGATAGATTCTGAAGCAGGAACAGAGTCAATTTCCATTAGAGATGCAGAGTCAGGAGCAACAGAGCCAGAGGGATTTTCCACAATTGTCATAGCCAGTGGATTTTCTTCAGAAGCAGATTCTGCAAAATCTTCTGTAGCAGATACTCCAGAAGATGAAGGCACATCTTCAAGAAGCAAAGGTTCAAATCTTTTCATGTTCCATATCATGTTCTTCAAATTTGAGGCTACAGTATTGAATCTTGTAATGAAGTTATTCCATATAGCATTAGATTCATTTGCATCCATGGTTGACAAGCATCTCTTCTGAACAGAGCCTAAAGTCATCTTTATTTCTTTCAGAAAATTAGCAAATAAAGTATCAACATTCAGCCTAGTTTTCGGTTTGAGAAGGGTTTCCAAAGTGAATGGCTTGGGTTGAGGTGGAGGTGGTATGGTAAATTTTGGAATGATGATCAGAGGACGAGGGTAGAAAGGAAGAGATGGATGGTCAGATGGAGTGGTAGTTTTGGATCTGGATAAGGCATTAACCAGAAATGGTTTTACACGTGATGCATAGGAAACAACATCAAATGTAGTGGAAGTGTAAGGAATGAAAGCAGATTTATCAGACAATAAAGGTTCTGATGAAATCATATCTGGAAGTTCTTTAAGTAGGTTTGAAGAACAAATGGTAGAATGGTGGAAGTCTTAGGTTTAAATGGAGTGATAGAGTCAGAAGGTTCTATTCTGTCATAAAAATGTTTAAACTTGAAACCAGAAGGAAGTGGATCACAGGGGAGTGGTTTAAAGGAAGCAAATGGGACAAACTCAGATGTCCTAGGTTTAGGTTTTGGAATGGTTTTAGGAATGAGAGTTTCAGATGAAATAGGTGGTTCTGGTTGTTTAGATTCAAATTCTCTGAGAGAAGGAGGTGAAATGACATCAGGATGGGCATCAGATTCAGATGAATCAGATGAGGTGGTTGGGATACAAGATGTAGAAGAAACTTCAAATACAGTCTTGAGAGGTTTAATGTTCAGAACCTCAGAGTCAGGTATATTTGTTTCAATAGGATTGGATGGTTCTTGTTGAATCTCAGAAGGTTTGGATGTTGGTGGTTCAGATACAACTGGTTCAGATGCAACTTCTTTAGATAAAACAGTTTTAGATGTAACTGGATCAGATTGTATGGGTTCAGATGCAGCTGGTTGTTGAGTTTCAGGTTGTTGTTGTGTTGTAGGTTATTCTGTTGGTTTTGTTAGTAGTTATGATTGTGGAATA